GTAAATCGAGCCCCACCAACACCAAGTGAACATCGTTGCAGTAGTGACCATGGAAGCCCGGTTAGCTGGGCAACCGTTGTTGCTCGCACACCGCCTGCAAAAACTGGGATCTACAGGGAGCAGACCCCATCTAGTGAGACTAGAAGGCCAGTCGGACGGGATAGTCCCTCACTGGAACTGTCCTTTAAAAATGTCTCCATGACTAGAAGCGGTATCTCCTGGCAGGTGCAGGAACCCACAAAGGCGGAAAACTGCAAAGCAAAAAACGCAGTACACCCTCGGGCACTCCGCCCGAGGGTCCAAGCGGTTCAGGTTCAAAGGAACCAATAGTCCAGGTCGATGTTATCGATCTGTGGTATACCAATGCCTGCAGTTTAGGAGGGAAATGGGGCGAACTAATGGCGAGAACCCACACAAGCGCCATTATCGGCATCACCGAGACATTCGGCAATAATGGCACTCCTAGGTAACACAGTGAGGGAATCATCGCGATTCCTTATAATGGGCGACTTTAATCTACCAGAAGTAGACCGGGACAACGAAATCGCGCCAAGGGGTACCGCTGGTATTGAACTCTTGGGCTGGATGCACCAACACGGACTAACGCAGCACGTCAAACTACCCACACGATTCAGAGGTGGCCATCGTCCGTCAACGTTAAACTTAGTTATAACTAGGTATAGAACGGACCTAACTTCTCTTATGTCGGAAAAACCGTTAGGAAAGAGTGAAAATGGGTTACTGAGACTAAAGTTTGTTGCGAGACACGACAGGCCTAATGCTAAGCTAGTGAGAAACTACGCCAAGATTAACGAAGAGCAATTATGGGTAGCTGCTGAGAGCATAAGGTGGTTTCCTGCCACACTTGCACCATCAATCAAAGAACGATGGGTGGTAATGCGAGATGGGTTGCTACGGTTAACGCAAGAGATTGCTCCCTTGATGCCTCGCAGATCCAGACACAGACCGCCTTGGTGTTCGCCTAGAATAGAAAGAGCGCTCACATCGCGCAGAGGATGCTGGGCTTTCTACACGCTTCACGGAACGCATAGTTCTTGGGTTAACTACAAGTTGGCCAGAAATGAAGCACAAACAAGGCAGAGGGAAGCTAAGTATGAGTACGAAAAGAAACTAGCTAGATATATCAAAACAAACCCGAAGAGGTTTTTTGCCCATGTACAGTCCAAGGGAACCGCACGTGAAAGTTTTGGAACCTTGGAGATGGCTAACGGTAACATAGCTAGTACAGACAAGGACCGGGCTGAGGCGCTGATGGACTACTACAAAAGTGTCTATCGTTCATCCCCGTATGATGGAGTTAGGAACCACATGGTGGATACCATTGGAAACGAACTGCGGGTGTTAATCGTGAGTAAGGAGGAGGTACGAACCGAGCTCATAAGCCTGTGCAAGCATAAGGTGGCGGGTCCGGATGAGATCCATCCAGCTATTGTCCAGCCACTGGCTGAGGTCATACTAGGACCTGTCAATGATTTATTTAAGGCCTCACTGACATCCGGGGTAGTGCCGGAGGACTGGCGGAAGGCAACCGTGGTAGCAATACGCAAGACGGGGTCTAGACAGAAGGCGAAAAACTACAGGCCGGTGAGTTTAACGTCAGTGCTGTGCAAGTGCCTCGAACATATAGTCAGAAAACAAATATGTACGCACCTGGTGACCCATGGACTTCTATCCTCTGCACAGCACGGGTTTACCAGGAATAATTCGTGTCTAACTAATCTAATTGTGTTTCTCGACGAGACTACACGTCGATTAGATCAGGGTAGGGCAGTGGAGGTATGTTACTTAGACTTCAGCAAGGCTTTTGACTCGGTGAGTCTTACGTTGCTGGACACGAAGCTACCAACGTTTGCACTTAGACGGAGACTACACGTCGATTAGATCAGGGTAGGGCAGTGGAGGTATGTTACTTAGACTTCAGCCTCGACGAGATTACACGTCGATTAGATCAGGGTAGGGCAGTGGAGGTATGTTACTTAGACTTTAGCAAGGCTTTTGACTCGGTGAGTCTTACGTTGCTAGACACGAAGCTACCAACTTTTGGAATAGTCGGGTCAGCGCGCCAGTGGCTGAAGCATTTGCTTAAAAACCGTAGTCTCACAGTACGGGTTGGCAGCTACATTTCGAGATCAGAGAGGGTTACAAGCAGGGTGCCCGAAGGCTCTGTTTTTGGGCCCCTTCTTTTTCTCCTATTCATCAGTGATCTCACGCTAGAATTACACAGTCCCTGTTTCATCTTTGCAGACGATGTGAAGATAGCGGGCGAGAACTTAACCCAGGACCTAGAAGCAGTTCGCAGCTGGTCGGCTCGATGGGATTTACCCCTGAATCTTGCCGTGTCAGCTACTGACGAACAATGCTGACTCAACCGGGGACGCAGTTCTACGTGGCACGGCGGAGGTAAAGGACCTAGGAATAATTGCCGCAAAGGACTTCCGGCCTACAAGACAATGTCAGATGGCTGCAAATAAACCAAGAGGAGTACTCTTCAGGCGGCGGACCACAGTTACATGCAGGAAGCCAGATGTGTTCGTTCCGTTGTATAAGGCAATGGCGCGCCCACTGCTGGAATACCGCGTACAAGCTTGGACCCCATACTATCGCAAAGATATGGAGTGTCTAGATAGGGTACAACGACTGGCAACCAGAATGGTCACTGGATAGATGGGGAAGAGCTACTCGCAGCGTCTCAAGGACCTGAATCTCTTCTCGCTGTCACTCCGAAGGACCAGAGACGACTTGATAGAAGCCTTCAAGATAGTTAAGGGGTTGTCGGGCATAGAACTAAGCAGCCTATTTGTTCCTGCACCAGAGTGCGGCACTAGAGGTCATAGACTTAAGCTGCAAAGAGAGTACTCCAGGTTGGAGCTGAGGGCCAGGTTCTT